TAACAATTTTCTTAAATATTTATTATCCATTTTAAAAAGATCATAGTTATTCTCAAAAAGTTGATTTCATAAGCAAGAAAAAAGTATTTCTGACATCAATCAATAACCATATTGACTTTAATTTGACAGTGACATTTCGTTTTAGATACACATTTCAGATCACAATAATGTGAAATTTGCGACCGTTGTGTGGGACCAATTAAAAAATTACTTCTATGACATTTATTCGTTTCTTAACCGCTCATTAACCGTTCATCGACTAAGGCCGATAAAGATAATTATTTCATAAATTTTGAACACGACTATATATCGAAACTCGCTCTTAGTAACAAATCTAGTTACTTTTCCCTGTGTAAATGCGTCTTTTCAATTCGCTCCTCCTAGTTTAAAAACAGAGTATAGGCAGATTAAACTATTTTATGTAAATACTCATAGAACTAACTGTGGACAGAATTTATTTGTAGACCGACTGATGTCCAATTACAATAAGTATTTTTCAAATTATGACATTTTAGTAGGTTTTTTTTAAGCGTCGACTTTCATTATACTATATTGACTTCAATTTTATACTATGACAATTTTATTAATTTCTTTTTTATTTTATTTTAATTGATATTTTAAATGTACCATTTAGAACTTTATGTATCTGTAGCGTACTGTAAACAAATAGATAGATAAATAAATAATGTGAACTTAATTATATAGTTTCTTCCTAAAAATAACCTTGTAGATAATAAATTTACTTGTTTATTATTAAAGAAAATAATATGTATAAAGAAAATGAAAAATATGCTCGTTTAAATCGTTGCACCTATTTTTAATTGATTTTTACTTACTTTGTTTTCCTAAATAAATAATAACCTTTATTTTGATTTTTACAAATTTGATACTTAATAATGGATGTTCAACTCATACAGAACAATGTTTTTAGCATGATATTCTGCTATGAAAGAAAAATAAATAATTTCAGATGTTATATATTCTTCTTCAACCAATTCTGTATTATTAACTTTAACTTCTAAAATTCCTGACATTTTTACTAGAATTATAATCCACCACAAAGAAAACCTACAACACAATATTTTTAAAATTTATTTTTAGTGATTAAAATATTATTACACTAGGGCGACCATACTTACAGCAATTTTGCTGTATTGTAAAGCATTTTTAAAGTTTGTCCAGCAATTGGTATTGTGCAGCAAACGTACAGCAAAATGGCATATGTATATGTCCAGTGAAATGCTGTATTTATCCACCAAAACGTCACTACTGTCCAGCAATGGTAATACTTAATTTACTGAAATGTAACAAATTTAAATGTTATTTATCTTTAGTGAACTACATGAGCACTTCTAACTGCCGTCCTAGCAAGAAAGGTTTTATCTGCAAAATTATCAGTTTTTTTATTTATGTGCATTTGTCTACATTTTATCTTTCTTAATACTGAAATGGAATGTCTTATTTGCATCAAAGGTACTAAAATGTTAAAAAGTTACACAAAAAAGGTTTAAAAGATAATAAATATATTTGCAAAAAATAATTAAAAACTCGATTATTTCAAAACAACAAATTTTCAGATAGGACCTCTCTGTCTAGGATGGCAGTATATGACTTCTTTGTTTTTGTATTTTTATAGTAGTATAGGAGTAGGGCTAAGAGTATCAGTCAAAGGTATTGATACTGGTATCATGTGAAATACTTTGTGGTACAGGCATCGATACTGTTCGATATTATGTTAAAGATATCGATATTTATAAGTATCAAAGTATTGAACAAGTAAAAGATTTTTTTTTAAACGGCTGACAACCCCCATTCAACAGGATGGAGTGGGGAACTTAACTAAAAACAAGTGTACATCAGTAAAGTATATTCTGTAGTTGACACCTTTTCTTTCTCTACTGGTACAAGTTATAGTGTCAATAACTGGCAATTTAACTTATAATTAAATAACAAAAAAAAAACAGTGGTAAGGCTTAATCATATTACCAAGTTTCACCACATGCGAAAACTAAAATATTTGAACAAACCTTATTATTCCTGACCACACACACATAGCAATACGATACTTGCTTCTAAGTATGGATATGGCGATAGTATTGGTAATTCAGTATCAGTGCCTAAATATGGATACTTTCATTGTTTAATATCGATACTTCTATATTATTGAGACATCAATAAGATCCCTATTATCGTGTAAAATATAGGCAGTCATTTAATATTGCAATCTAAAAGAACAGACAATAAATTAGAAAATATGTTTCTATTTTATTGAAAAGAAGAAAAGAACTTACCAAACTTATTCAAAGGTATAATTTACAATTTCTTTAAAATCTCAAATAAATACAAGAAAATGTGACAAGTGACATTTTTTTTATGTTTTGTTGGTTATAACAAACGAATGGGTACGTTCGAAAACAAAATGATGTATATAGTACATGTCGTGGATACTTTTTTAGCAAGTTACTTTATTACGTTGTGTTATCATAACAGGCAGGTTAAATACGTAAGTAACCAATAGATGTTTCGCGAGGTTTTGATTTCTCTCAACAACTTCTCATGTACGTTGCAATTACGTTATATGATAATGTTATTACGTTCCCTTAAAACAACATCGCCGAAAGGCTTGGCAACGTTATGTGCTAGCTGGGTAGGTTCTTGAATCAACCTGAGGTTGTCCAAAAAGTGCCTGTCTTTTGCGATCCAATGTGTAGTTGCATAGTGAATGGTTGTTTCAACAAAATAGATCTCCATTATACATACTTATTTTGTTCAGATGTCCCTTTACTGGGGTATGATCAGTTCTGTTATTGTTTTTAACTGGTTCCTATTCATGGAGAGTAGCTCTCCTGATCTTTTTAAACAAGGTCTTCTGATCTGCTTGTTTTGGGATGTTCTGCCAAACTTCGAACTGTACTTTTTGGTACTCCACGGTTCATATCTGGCTCCGGTATTTCTTCTGACCCTCTCTTTGTTCTATTCCTTGATATCCTGGCATCCAAACTAGTTTTACTCTATTTCGATCTTCAAATGTTCTGTTCTTCGATTCAATCCCATATCAGCCTCCCTCGACGTCACTTTCTGACTATATTGCCTTGAGGGCAGCCTGGCTGTCTGACATTCTGCTTATTTTCGGTAACTCTCCTATTGTTTAATCTTGCACATTGCAAGATTGCATAAACTTCAGTCTGAAATATTGGAGCGTGTCTTCTTATTGCATAGCTAAGGTATATGTACCAGGTGTATTCCTATCCTTGTGGTGATCTCCATTCTGTTTGGCATTAAAACCTCGACTGGAGTGTTACAGGAATACCGTTTGGTTATTTGATCTGTTTTTATGTGCTAACTCAACACGTTATGTGTTGAATAGAGAGAGACATTACATAAGAATAGCATTCTGTCGTACGAAGATAGGCGTCTCGACATGTGCCGTATTGAAAGATGAGGATCTCACTGCTGATCTAATATTAAGATTCCCCAAAATTTTTTCTTATCTATAAACATCTATTTATTGGTCTTTGAACCATTATCTCGTCTCTTATATGTCTGTCTTAAAGTCTTCAGTACGAAAGACTTTTTGAGCTTAGGAACTTTGCCGTTCGCAGTCTCATTTTCCACTGATTTTGGTATAAAAGTGAACCTAATGTTTCGCCATGCTCTTGGTATGTATCCAAAGGCCAGACTACTTCTGAGTATGCTGCAGAGTCTTCTGTATAAAATATTTTAGGTCCTCTTTGTAGCATTATTGGATAAATCCCGTCAATTCCCGGTGATTTGTACGATTGAAATTAGTTGATTACCCATTTCAGTTTGTCATAATCCAGCACTTTTTTGGGTCCTCTCTATTGGCTCCTTCACTAGCTTCCAGTCCAATTTGACCTCAGATTACCGGTGTGTGTTTTATGGTTTGTGACCCAGGGAAATGAAGAGTTCTCTTATCGTTTCATTTCCTATTCTTGTGTACTTTTCTAATTCATTCTTAAGAAAGTTTATTGGATTTTGTCTTTTCAAGGATTTTCTGGAGTCTGGCACATGTCTCCTTCAGGAATATCTCTAGACTATTCGTAAAGCTTTATTGTAACTGGTATGTATGGTGCTATACTCCTAACCTCTCCCTGTTTCTTGTTGAATATTTTTCCCTTACTTGTTTCCACTATGGAACATTCCTTGTGGAGTTGTTTGCTATTAAAGGACAAATGGCGTTGAACACATTGGTATTAAAGTCCTCCACAGCCATTTCAAATTCTGTTGGTCTTATCGTCATTCTTATCTTTGGAATATTATACTCCAGGCAGACAAATCTTCCCAGTCTGTTTTCCGAATGTTCCGAAAAATTTCTTTGGTAATATTACCTTTTATTTTAAAATGTATGTGTCTGTGATTTGAACAATTTTCCTCGTCAGGCACATGCCATTCTGTTACCTAGTTACTCAAATAAATTGAGGTTTCTATTATTTGTAATAAAGGCAGGTTTACTGCATGCATTCATTATGTCTGAATCAGTATTAACTTAAATAGTAACCCTAAAACAATGTCGTTGATCTATGAAACTATTATCGAAGTCATTAAAGTCACTAAGAAATGCCATTTTCATTGTATTGTTTCACACATGTGGGATACGGGTATTGAAGACTGATTTCTACCAGTAGCCTAATTCACAAAGACCACATCTAAATTCTTAAAGATAGAATGTCCTATAGACGTTATTATGTGTTTTTTATCGATTTATGAAATGTTTTCCAAAAAAATATTAACGAATATTTAATTTGTTGATGATTTGTAGAAATATAACCTCATTTATTTTAATTTTATTCACAGTAACGATTCAAAGGATGTTTGAAAAATCACGCCATCCAACTCTATTTTTTCTTTGAATTGACGTTGATGTTTCTTCTTTAAGAATGTTTACAATTTAGTTTTTATCATTGATATTAACATATTCTACTTTTTTAACGAGGTAAATAATTATCTTATATATTTACTAGTTTCCTTTACAATTTTAGGATTTATTAACGTTCCTAAAGTAAAAGGCACGCACAATGCCATGAAAAGTGGTATGTTAGCAGCGGAAAGTGCTTACGAAGCATTGAACAGTGAGAAGCAAGAAACTGAAGGTTACGAGCCGAAATCGTATGAAGATAAATTTAAGAAGAGCTGGATTTGGAATGAACTTAAGGCCGTTAGAAATATCAGACCTAGCTTCCATAATCCGTTAGGATTGTATGGTGGCTTAATACATAGTGGAATTTCTATTATACTAGGTGGAAGGGAACCATGGACTCTAAAACACGGAAGTAATTCTTTTTTTTTTTAATGTAATATTACTTTTTTATACACTAAACTGGGCAAAAATAAAATAGTTTTTTCTCATTTTGACATATAAAGTGACATTTTTTTGTAATCGCAGCAAGTGTCAACATGATCTACTTTACGCAACCAGTTGCACAATGTTGAACATTATGAAACTGATTACGAAGAATTCATTATGTCATCTGTTGTGAAAAAATCCAAATAAAAATAAAGCTTTTTTGATTATAAAATCAATATAGTTACGAAATGACATTTTATGTAACTCGTTCATATTGCGGGACCTCGCTCTGTTCGTCCCGTAAATATTCACCCGTTACATAAAATAAGGCATTTTGTAACTGGTTGCATAAATAGCTATTAAAATATATGACCTTTTTCAATTTGTAATCGATAAAGTTCCTTTATAAGGGTCGTGGATTTGGCATTAGGTTAAAATAACATGAGCACTCCGAAATTAGATATTGGACGCCACCATATTTGAAACACTCCTTCAATTGAAAATTACTAATATGGAAGTACATTAATAATGAAATGTTAAGGAATTGTAGGATATTTTTTTGTTACAATACCTAACAAATTCGAATCTACTAGAGTTTATAACGATAAAATTATTTTTAAAATATATTCACTAAATTTGTATCATATTTAAATAATTTAACTCATCAGTTTGGGCACAGGCCCGTCACTCCCTGTACTTCCCATGTTAAATTCCGGCTCAAATCACGATACACATAATGGCACAGTTTATTGCTAAAGAATCAGTTAGTTCACTTGGACCAGTTGAATGTTCCAAAATAACATCCACTCCAGGGATACAAATTTAGGATGCGCAGAAGACTGCTGTATGAATATAGTAGGCGGTTGTCATATATTGTATTGGTTATGATTTGATTCTGTATGCGCCAGGGATAAAAATCCGAGTTGCGCAGTGTATAAACTGGAACATTGAGATCAAAAGTGCCGACGCAGAGTGAGCGATCTGATTCTTTAGCTATAAACTGTGCTAATGGTATGCTGACTTTCAATTCAAAATTCGTCAAAACCGCGTATGACGTAATGCGGGACGAACTTTCAAGTTATTTTGACACTTTTCGATTGAATAGTGTAAAATAATTTAATAATTTGTTTCTGTGTTAGCAGTGACTATATATTCCTATACATAACAGGGAAGAACTAAATTAATGTTTAAAATGCCGGTCTGCGCGGTGGAGATATTTCCTAATACCACAAAATATGGGTAAATTCTTATCGAAGAAAGGACAAACTTAATTGAAGTTGCCCTATCCACTTTGAGGACAGTAGTTGTGAGATTCCTTTTAAACATAGACGCAAGAAAAGAAAACTGAATTTCACCAGGTGCACGGGCCTCATTAAGCAAAGAAAATAAATCGGTATTTTAAAATTTTAGCAGATAAAACAGTAGTTTCCTGGGTAATTATTGCGAAGACGCCCTTTTCTTAAAAATAAATATTTTTTTACAAAACTTTCATTTTTCTCTTTAGGAAGGAGAGTATTTTTCAAATATACCACCGGAAACCCCACAAATTACCGTTTTTTTTTTTTAAATTACATATTAAAGGCTTATGAAGATCATTTAATGATCATTTGTGTAAACTTATTCATTTGAATTTAGAATTATGTCCGTCATGATCTGTCAATTCAAATTAGTGCGGTGTTGCCAGTGTGCAACTAAAATCAACGAAAAATAAATAAGTTCTATTAATTTATTTCCAGTCACATTCGATGATTTATTTATCCATTTTGATTGAATTGTTGTAGTACATTATTTTTAAATATTAATATTACGTCATCTATAAAATAATAAACAATACTTTTCGAAAACTTTGAAACATAATTACTTAACTTTTGAACCAAGTGCATTTATTTGTTTGTCAAATGACGACAGCCAGCCAACCAAATTTAAAGAGTACTATCAACAAGTTTAACTGTCACTTGGTGGAGACTTTTAAGGCATTTCTCTATAAGCTTACCACAACATACTTGCCGTGTGTTCCGTATATCACCGAATATTACCGGTGTGGTTAAAGGGTTACTAGCGTTTTCAGGACGGTTTCTTTTTTGGTTTTAGTAAGTGGAATATTTACGGAACGCTTGTTGTAAATGTTAATTGTCTCATGTCAAATCAATGCATTTTTTGCCGCGTTTGAGAATCCACATCGGATGCATCTAAGATGTAGTAAATCTTTGATCACGTGATTCAGTATACGTAAATGTAATGGGACAGATGTGTCCGATGTGGATAAAAAAATGCATCCGATGTGGATTCTCACACGCGGCATTTGTTGGATATTGATGTTTTTACGTTTGCTAAAATGTTCCTTCTTTCAAAATTAAAAAAGTCCAAAACAAATTTAACTGATATGACACATGATTATCACAAATGTCAACGTCAACCATAACAACCGATGAAAAAGTTTGGTCACTTTGGTGACAGCTGGTACCAACCGCATTTCAGGAACATTGTCCCGTAAATCTACAATTTTCAGGAATTTGACATTTACGGTACGCGATTTTATTAACCAGGTTAACCAAGGTGATATACGAAACAGCAGGTCGGTTACAGTCTCTCAATGGTTATAGTATTGTGTTTGCTGTGGTGGTCATATGTCAAATTTAATTTAAGTTTGGGGATTTTTTGATTTTGTTATTTTTTATTATGGTATGTTCTAGTAAGCTTATAAAGGCTGAGTTCGATTTGGCGTTAGCTGTACTCAGAGTGTACTCGGTATGCCTCAATTGTGGTCGTTTTGGCACTCAGAGCGTACTCTTTTGCGCGCTCGCTTGCTTCTGTAGTGGTTAGGAAGTAGGTGGTACGAGCATTTCGTGCTTTTATGGTATATGTTCAAAAAGCGCGCGCCCGGCCGACGTTTCGAAATTCCCGCGAATTTCGAAACGTCGACCGGGCGCGCTCGCTTGCTTCTGTAATGGTTAGGAAGTGGATGGTACGAGCGTTTCGTACTTTTATGGTATATGTTCAAAAAGCGCGCGGCCGGCCGACGTTTCGAAATTCGCGCGAATTTCGAAACATCGGTCGGGCGCGCACGCTTCGCTCGCTTATGCTGTGGTTAGGAAGTGGGTGGAACGAGCATTCAGTACTATTAGGGTGTAGGTGTAACAAGAGCGCGCAGGGCCTGGCGTTTGTTTATTACATCTACATTCAGATCTAATTCTCCATCACGTGATAAAAAATTCACATCTCAGATGCATCCGATGTGGATTCTCAAACGCGGAATTTATAAGCTTACCACGTGATAAAATGTCAATGACAAGTTAGAAGTTTATACTTTATAAATTGACTTTTGAGACTACAAATCAACCTAAATTTAAAATTTAAACAAAAATTAAACAAACTAATCACTTTTATATTCATGATAGCATAAACAAAGGATAAATTGACAAACTTGGCTTCACAGAACACTTACTTTCTGGCATGGAACGAACATCTCATTTCAAATCGAGATATAAAAAATGTAATCTGAACAGGTACATCTGGGATAAACAAACGCAGATGTAGTAGATGTGTCCGATGTGGATAAAAAAACGCTCGAGATGTAAAAAATGCATCCGATGTGGATTCTCAAACGCGGCAAAAGAAATGCCTTAAAAGTATGCAACAAGTGACGTCACAGTTAACCTTGTTGATAGTACTCTTTGGGTAAGTTCGGTTTGGAACTCGACAGAGCGCGCACGGAGTGCGTGACGTCATAGACAAAGTTCGCTCTTTTTATAATTTCAAGACGAACACAAGGGAATGACAAATGACATTAGTGATAGTTTGCACTTGAATACACTTTTGTGTTTGTGTATGGACTGTAAAAAATAATTTTAATCAAATAGGAAATAGTTATAACAAAAACAAACAAGAAATAATACGTGTAAAAACTGATTAATCATAAGATTAGAATATTGACATTTGACATTTTTGACACATTCCTATAGATACTTGCTGATCTCCACCAGTCAACTCAGGGAAGAGTGCCCGCTCGGAGTACGTGATCTGTGGCAAGCCGAACACAAAAGAGTACGCTCCGAGTGCCAAGACGACCACAATTGAGGCATACCAAGTGCACTCTGAGTACAGCGAACGCCAATCCGAACTCTGCTTTTAAAGTTAACTGGCTGGCTGTCGTCATTTGTCAAACAAATAAATTCAAATAAAACTTTTGGATAACACAAAGTAATTATGTTTCAAAGTTTTCGAAAAGTATTGTTTATTATTTTATAGATGACGTAATATTAATATTTAAAAATAATGTACTACCAACAATTCAATCAAAATGGATAAATAAATCATCGAATGTGACCGGAAATAAATTAATAGAACTGATTTCTTTTTCGTTGATTTTAGTTGCACACTGGCAACACCGCACTAATTTGAATGGACAGAACATGACGGACATAATTCTAAATTCTAATGAATAAGTTTACACAAATGATCATTTATTGATCCTCATAAGCCTTTAATATGTAATTTGTTTAAAAAAACGGTAATTTGTGGGGTTTCCGGTGGTATATTTGAAAAATACTCTCCTTCCTAAAGACTAAAATGTAAGTTTTGTAAAAAAATATGTATTTTTAAGAAAAGGGCGTCTTCGCAATAATTACCGATAAGGTAACAGAAAAATTGGTTTTGAGTATTTTCAAAGCAAACTTGACAAAAAAATGTTAAAATTTACCAAATAAAAAGTATTTTTTTTATAAATAAATAATTTGTATCTACACACTTATTTTTATTTCACATAATAGACAATAGATTGCAGGAGAACTACCACGCCCAGAAAGTACAAATTTGAGTCAAACTTTTTAGTCCATATCTTTTACTTATCTTATGGCCAGGTTATGGATTTTGTCACAAAATACCTATAATTTATGAGACAAATTAATATTTTTATTCGTATTATTTACCTTAAACCTTCATATTTGTAAACTAAGGGTGAGATTACAGAACGTCTGCAACTTTGCAGATCTGCAAATATGGCGGCAACTTTGAAAATCTGCTAATATGACTGACTTACACATGCAAGTATCAAGTTTTCGTATTGCAAATTTGGGTTTAGTGTTGTTGGGGGTAATAAACCACAATAAATATTGTGAATTTGCAGATATTTTTTGAAATACTTGCATTTGTAAGTCCACCATATTTGCAGATCCGCAAAGTTGCAGATCTGCAAAGTTGCAGATCTGCAAAGTTGCAGACGTTCTGTAATCTCACCCTAATACTTTAACCAATAAAGCTTAAAGTAACTGCATAAACTCTAAAATTGGCAAAATATCGAATTTTAAACACTATCTCCCATTTAATACTACTTGTAATTCTGTCCCACGTGACGTCACCGTCAGTCAGCTGCATGCGCAGGAAGATACCGTTAGTCTGTGTATCGTGGTTCAAATCTCAATGACCTTGGACCTCCCTATTAGACTGGGGTATTTTTGACAAGTCTGGGGTCACCAATCAGCACGTTGGTTGCTGACACATGAGAAAAAATACATCTAAAAGTAAAAAATATTTAGGTTTTAAGCCACTTGAAGACAAAATTAATGTGCTTATTACAAAATTTATGTTTTTTGGTTTTTAAAATAATGTTGACCTCGATGCCTCCTCCCTATTGGTCTGGAGTATTTTTAAAAAGTCTGGCGTCACCAATCAGAACGTTGGTTGCTGTCATATGAGAAAAATTACATCTAGAAAATTGAATAGTATTTTTGCAGTTTTTCACTGCACAAACCGTCATGATGTAATTTGTATTAAAAAATACAGATATATAACAAAATTCGATTATAAATAAATGTTTGAACCAAAAAGAGAAATGATCAGACAGATAGGTTATATTAGATTAAATACATTTACCCGCGTAAAATATTTTAAATTTTCAAGGTCACAGACTTTCAGATTGATTGACATTTGAGTGCGATCTCTTGTGTTAACTATACTCTTTGGTTTGGGGCTTCGGCTGTGTGTTGGTAATTGGGATGGTCTTGTTAGTTCCAATTCGTTCGTAATTAATTGACTCCAAATATCTACTTCCTAAACTAGGATTATACTTCGACAATCTTCCTAGGGAAAAATTCTTTATATAGTCTCTTTGAAGTACCTCACGAACCATTTTTACTGCTCCACGGCATACGATTGCGTGTAGGACTTCTGTAGAAATTTATATAAAAGCTTTTGTTTCGGTTATCTATTCATCACGTTTTTTGTTCCACCAGAATTTGTTTTTACGTGAAGTACTACCTTTAATTAATTTAGAAATTGATTTATCGTTTTTTTTTTAATATTGTTACTAGTCAGTATTCACTAACCTACAATTTTAATCTAAAATCTTATAAACTAATTACTTATCTAAGAAGTCCCTATTGGGCTGTCTTAATTATTTCTCTAGGAAAGCATCACAAGTTGGCGTGACGATTTATTACACTGTTTTACACTAGCACTAACATTAACGTTCACTGCACTTGCTAAAATGGCTTCTTCCTTTTGAGCCTTCTGTTGAGAGTAGAGTTGTCCAGTAATTGCAGCGCTTCTTCGTTGACGTGGAAGTGGAGTCGTCCCTCATGTTTCGCAGCAAACCTATTTATTTCTTCTTCGATTGTTGGCATCTTCAGGTCTCTAAGAAGATAATCGTTTCGATAGAACCAAGGTCCGTCAACAATGCATCTTAGGATTTTATTTTGGAAAACTTGTATCATGTTGATATTAATCTTGCTGGCATATCCCCATAGTTGTATGCCATAAATCCAGATTGGTTTTAGGATTTGTTTATAAATCAGCAGTTTGTTGTACACTGACAATTTGGATTTTCTTCCTAGGAGCCAATACATTTTTTTGAATTTAAGTTCAAGTTCTTTACGCTCTTTTTATGTGCTCTTTCCATTTAAGTCTTACATCTAGGTTCATCCCTAGGTATTTGGCCGAATCGTGATGCGGAATACCGTCATTGTTTATTCTTATTTGTTTTTGTTCATTTGGTCGAAGAATAAAATCAACATGCACTGATTTAGTTTCTTTTATTTTTATTTTCCACTTTTTTGTCCATCGATTGATTCTGTTGCAGGTTTCCTGAAGTTTTTCTGAGGTCTCTGTATTAGTTCCGCCAACTGCCAATATTGCAGTGTCATCCGCAAATGTTGCTATTTTAACACATTGTTGTTGAGGGATATCGCTGGTGTATAATAAGTAAAGAACTGGTCCTAGCACACTGCCTTGTGGGACACCTGCTTTAATTTCTTTCATTTCGGAGTATGCCTCGTCTTGCTTTACTCTAAACATTCTTGCTGTTATATATGATTGTAGAATGTCGACATATTATCTAGGGAGCATTTTTTCAAGTTTCTGTATCAGGCCAGTGTGCCAAAACTTGTCAAATGCTTAGGCTACGTCAAGAAATATAGCTGAGCATATATATTTTTCTTCGTAAGCTTTTTCGATTATTAAATATTAAAAATTGTTTGAAATAAATTAGATGGGTCATTGACCGAATGACCTTATGGAGTATGGCCGGCTCAAGTCCGAGGTTTCGGGTTCGATTCCCGGTCATGCACACATTTTTTTTCTCTCTCAGCTTTTTCAATTTTTCTTTGGTTCATTTACACTCTGGGGATATAAGGGTGTAATTTTTATAATTTCGTAGAGAGAGTTGTGGTTTTTCATTTTCATCATTTCCAAAAATTGTTTTTGTAATTTGAAGTTTAGTTGAATCATTATCTTTCTTAATTTTCCTATTAATGCGTCTAACAAAGTACTTCAAATTTACAATGCAAATCATAGAGTGAAATCCTTCTTTTTAAATATTCTTCTGACAAATCTACATCTATTTGTTTGACCACTCATAATTTGAATAATAAAAATTTTGGTATAAATGCACCTAAGTACTGCTTTATTAAATTAGTAGAATATAGCAAAACGTTGGCGCTTCAATAGCCTTTTAAAATGATTCTAATTTGGTTTTACCCAATAGATTGGTTTTATTATCAATTTCAAAATGAACTCTTATAATTATTTCACCTACCTTTTATACCTAGGATTTAATCTAACCTCAAAACGTGTCTTTATACTTTCAATGTATTCATGAAACGGATCTATATCAGTAGGTTGGTATTGTCAATATTTGGTGATTAGTTTGAAGATAATTTAGTAAATGGTACACTGACATCACTTACCGAATCTTGGGTTACATTTTTATCTAAATTTACTTTTGGTGATTCTTTTATTATGGCATCTACTTCCATAATACATCTCCCAATTGGGTATTAGTCCAAGTTGATGGGTCTCACCAGTCAGGTGGTTTTTTTGGGAGGACTGTGTTACCGTAGAGTCTATTAAACAGAGCGCACTTTAATGTATCTATTTAAAAATTTGAAAACTCTCGGTACAAACTAACTAATAATGAAACAAACATTAATTATATCAGACGAGAAATATATTTATCGAATGGCAACTATTTGACGTCTAAAAGTTCAATTTAGTCGTTAATATATTTAATAAAAAAAGCTAGTATGAAACGCAATTCAAATTCTACTTTTTCTTTCAGCTCCAGATCATCAAAGACTGAAACCAGCCAAAGAATGCAAGCCAATAGAATATCCTAAACCTGATGGTAAAATCAGTTTTGATCTTTTATCGTCCGTCTCTCTTACTGGTACCAATCATGAAGGTGACCAACCAGCACATTTGACCCTTTTAGATGATTCAGTGCCTATAGACACAAATCTGGCAATTTACGACGGTCCAGAAGGAAGATTTTGCCCTGCAGGTATTTACAAGATTTATTAAACTGTGTTTATTATGTTAAGTAATTGTTTGGTGAATGAAGATTCAAATTAAAACGTATGTTGCCAAAACCCTTATAGAATTTCGGAATCTTTCAGGGGGTAGAAATTAGGATTATCTGAATAATTTCTTATCATTTTTATTATAAATTATATTGAGTCGTTTATTATATTAAAATTATACTTTGGTTTCCGATTTTCAACGTTTGTAATCTGACGTCATTTGTTAACGAATGTGAGAATATTTGTTATGTCATGATATTATTCGCGATTCAAACTGATACGCCCTCTAGAGGAAATTTGTAAAAGAAGTCTATAAGTAGGACTTTTTCCAAAGTTGCCAGGAGTAGCGGAATTAGCCCTTGAAGAAGTAGAAATACTTTTTTTTAAGTAGCAAAACTTGGGTCAAGCAATATGTAATCACACTATATTTATTTAAGGATTTTTATAAAACCGATTTAAGGAAAACGGGCCAAATTGTTATTTTTCTCTTTTAAAACACATTTTTAGATAAAATTTTCGCTCTGGAAACACTTAAAAATAATTTTTTTTTTTACCTTTAACTTCCAAATGTGTCATCGAATCACGATCTTAAAAACACGTGAATTACATAATTTTGATTGATTTCTTGTAGTAAAAACTGCTAAATAACAATATTAGACTGCTAGCCATACAAATTTTTTTCGTAAACTCTTATAATTTCTTTGCGTTTGTTTTTAAAAATTTTAAAACTGGTGTTCACATCGGAGTCACATTTTGTTCAATGTCGTCTGTCGTTTGAAAAACATCTAAAAAAATACAGTGTTGCCAGATCGATGCTCATCGTTATTTAACCTATGTCCTGCGTTATTCCAGGCAGGCCCAACATGAGATCTTGAAGAATTTTCGTCGCATAAGCGTGGTTTCTGAATAAGTTCACGACATCGTTCACAATCCCAAGGCAATTTCGAACAGGTGGAACTGACATGGCATTTGACAATGCGAGATTCAAACGATGGCTATAACAATGAACGTACATCATCAATGGGTACAGATTCTTCATTCTCGCCTGGACGCCATTGACATGACCAGACATGTTGCGTGCTCCATCGTAACTTTGACCAATGCATTTTTTCATTTCGAGGCTCAACTCTTTACAACGTTTCAGGAGAGCTTCAGTTATTTTTTCAGAAGTCTGGTTGTAAATTGGTACAAATCCTACAAAATCTTCACGAATAATCAGTTTTTGCAAGTCATCGTCGAAGTCGAGGTATCTGAGACATACTGACATTTGTTCAGTTCCTGATATATCCATGGTTTCATCCCCGAGCAAGATGAAGCATGGTGCATTATCAACTTTCTGAATAATTTTCCTAATGATAATGTCAGAACATATCTGAATAATTTCATTCTGAATATCTGGACTCATGTATTGGGCATTTTTCGGATGATTGAGAACGTGTTTTTCCAAGCTTACATCCCCGGAATCGATTCGAAATCGCAAAAGAGCTCGGAATTTTCCATCATTCAGTTGTGATCTAATCAATGACAAAGGTCCACTATCGTTATCGCCTCTCAAGGGCAATTCTTGCTCAGCACAAAAAAGAATGGTTTTTATTATTGGTATGATAGCTGCTCTATTTTCTTTTTTTTCCTTTGCTTGCTGCTTATCCATTAGAGACATAATATCTGATCGTTTTCCTGAAGATACTTCAAGAAAAGTTTTGGCAAACTCGGCACAAGTCTTGTGATATTCTTTGTTTGCATGCTTTCTAAAATCTTCCCTCGCGTTTTTCCAATTGCTATAGCAGCTGGTGACAAGTTGTCCTGGAATTTCGTGGTTTCCTTTGCCAACTCCTTCATGAAAAAATAGCCAGCATGGTCTGCAGTACACGCCATCTTCTTGTTGAGAATAAGCGAGGAAAGGAAAGTCTTTCATCCAAGTTTCTTGAAAACTCCTGTTGCGCCCATATCTTTTAGTAGTTGGATAGAGAAACCCTTTCGAGATCATCGGTAAAGTTAAAATGAGCTTTTTTGTGTAATCATCCAAGGAGGATCTATCCATATTGCCAATGTCGAGTTTTGGATCAACAGCATTCGTCTTTGGAGAAGCATGAGTAGACGTGTCAGATTGATCGGCAATTTGAGAATGCAGATTTTCGTCTGCAATAAATAAGGAAAATTTTTTAGGCATAAAAAGGAAACAAGTTTTTTGAGGATAACATAAAATCATATAGCATAGAATCTTTTCAAAGAAAGGAAGTGTCAATTTTTTTCAAATTTCGGTTTGGTTATAAAATTAAAATGTCTTCAAATATATCGTTTTTTATCGGTAATTTTCTATAATTATTCGAAAAATATTGCGTTTCTGAAACTAGTCGTGACTAGTGGAAGCGTTTCAACTAATGAAATTTAAATTCCTTTTTCTAACACAGCGATACATAATATTTCATAATATTCTGGCTAAAATAATACAATAAGGCACGACACAATACTTATAATTCAGTTATTTCTTGTGCTTTTCATGTGTTTTTCTGGCTTCACACGTATTTTTTAATTTTTTGAAATTAATTTCAATAATAATAATATTTTGAAATTTGGATAAAGACTCCTAACGTCATAAGCATAAACGCTCATTTTAGGAGTTTTTAAAACGTAATTTTATTCGAATTTGTTATTCTAGTGTCACGACTATTTTCTGAGTAAGCAAAATTTTTCGCCATGTTTTTTTGCACCTAGATAACATTAATTAGCTATTTTTGTAGTCGTTCATATTTTTGTATATTTTTTAAAAATATTTAAAAACATTATTTAAGACTATTTTAAGAATATTTCTTGTATCATTGACCTTACAGGATACTACTTGGACATGAAGTTATTCTGGGGATATTTTTATAAATATTCCTATGAGACATCCCAGGGATAATAAATGTCCATAAGATAATACAAATCATTCATCAATCTATACTTTATGTTACTTACCAGAAACTTTTGACGTAGAAGTTGCGCCAGATATCAGTTCATTTGAAATGTTTCGTTGTCATCTGTAATATTTCAATTGAAATTATGATTTTGAATATGATAGCAGAGTTTAATGACATTTTTCAGTATTAAAAATGGTTTCAGAATTCGCGTTAATGTAGGTATACATTAGTTATCATTTAATTGTTACTGTAACGATTTTGTTACTTACTAGAAACTCGAGTAGTTGTAGGAGTTTCATCAGATATTGGTTCATCCAATACGTTACGATGTGAATCATCGTCATCTGTAATATTTAAATGACAATTACAATTGTGTATATTACTGTCGAGAAAACAGTGTCACTGATGCGACAATGAGGAGAAACTTAAACAAAAAGTTTCTAGTTTTTCTAAGAGTTATTTTAATCTATTTGAATTAATATGAATTTTGCGAAAAACTATACATTAGAAAAATGTTCGTCAAGTAGAGAAAACGACTAGTTTTTTGAAGCTGTACACATATTCGCTTGTAACACTTAAAAAACTACGAAAAAAAATCAGTGTTGACGTTTGAGGTTATGTGAACACTTTCATGTCTATGGCTATTCGTAAGGTCAAAATGCACATTACTTACCTTTCAATTCATTATTTTTTGATTTCTTGAGAAACCAAACAATACTTGTTTGGCCTTGTGCACGTTTCATTTCAATTTCGATTCTTCGTAAACAATATTTAACTTACGCCAGTAACAGTTGCTTATCGAAACTGCAACTGAGTCGTCTGAGTGTGAGTTCTGATTCGGATCGATATATCTCGAATTGGATCACGAAAAATTGCGCGGGAAATTTCAAACACCAGTAAACTGTGTGAAAACCAACACTTGTCTAGTAAAAGCGTATTTTATGTTTCACACGCAATTTTTGATGATCGGATTCGAGATAATCGATCCAGATCAAAAAGTAATCTTCTGTTCAAATGTTCTAATAGAGATATTATATATGTCTCACAGGCGTGAAGTTGTCATAAAAAATATGGCTTGTTATCGATAGACATATTTTTAAAACATGTTTCACATCTTTAGGAAAATTTTAGGGTTCACGGAATTTCGGGGGGGGGCCCGTCGGGCCCTACGGCTGGCTACGGGCCTGATTCCAGGCCATAAAAAATGCAACTTTCGATATCAGAAAAACTGTATAGAACACGTCATAAAATAGCGCCTGTACAAAATAGCGCGTAGAATGAAACAGCATATGTAGCTATCGCGGGGTACTACGTATTTTTTACATAAAATTAAAAAAAACTTAACCAATTTACCTCTGGAGCGGAATTGCTTCGCAAAAAATACTTTAAATGAGAAAAATAAAAAACTAGCTAAAATTAAAATTAAATTATCCTAAAATGAAAAACTTAAACTAATTTATCTAACCTGTGCGGCCTGGAGCCATTGTGAACTTTTTCAAACCTCCTCCGGCTTCGCTCTGATTACTCGGCTATGCTATTTGGCCTAAAGCCATTGCGCGTTGCTTTTAAACCCTTGAACTTTTTTCAAACCTCCTCCTACTTCGCTGTGGAGAAGGCGTTTTGAAAGTGTTGGAAATAATGTATTACCTGAAGGTATGTAAATAATTATAATTCGACTATTTTTTAAATAAATAGGATCAGTTGCACCCCAAAAACAATTAAATTGATGTTTAAATACACACATGAATTGTAAAATTAAAACAGTTCAAAGTCGGCTTTGGCAGTTTACATTATTGTTCACCTATACAGGATGATTCACAAAGAAAAGGTTATATTTTACCTGCAGATTCTATAGTGGAAAGTGTTAATTTATGGCTTAATAACTGGGGGTGAAATATTAATACATACAAATGTAAAGAAAAACACATTATTAAAAAAAGTGACGAGCTGAATAAACGCATATTAACTAAGTAGGTAATTGGGGCATTATACTTTTCTTCTAGGTTTTTGAAACAAAACTAATAAAAATGAAAAACTATAATTGTACAAAAATGTAAATTTTTGTGTTGAAAACGAACAAT